TATTAAACCAAATGCCGTAGAGTATTCCCGGGTGGAGTGGAAATGCAAAATAGGATCGACATAAAGGACCACAAATTCAAAACAAGTAATTGTCTACTGTACTTTAATAAGACTGCCCGTATATGGCAGACAATCAATAATTTCTGGCAGCATCAACTTATAAAAAATACCCTGCAATTTTTCCTACAGGCTTAATGCTGGTTTCTTCGCGTTAATTTCTAAGCTTTCACTATGTCTCACCCCGACTGAGTTACGCTTGCCCCTTGATATTACTGCTTGCACCACGTCTTGCCAGACAATCGCTGGGCCCGGCGTTTGTCGAGGCCCATATATTGTATTGCACGCCAGTGCTGAGCCTCTTTCCCTAGTCGCTCAAGATCAAATCGCATTACCGAAACGCATATCGAGTTTTATTGAGTATTATAGTAGGGATATGGAGATTGGTCTTTATGCATGCGCAAGTACATTACAATTATATTTGTATGGAAAAGAGATATAGGAGCTGCAGTATAGAGGTACGCGACATGCACAACGAACGCCGTTTGCGGAGCTTATAGGTTTCTTATATACATAGAAGGCATATCAGCATAGATAAAATGCCGAAAGATAGCACACGTGGTCTACGATCGGGGCTGGTAATAGCCAAAAGTAAAACTAACATTTAGCTAAGCACTCAATAATAGACAAATTTAACTTCTTATGCTTGTGCTTGATATGTATAAATGGCTACGTTTAAGACCTGCTCAAAAATCTATCATAGAGCTGTAAATCGATGGCAAAGTTAGATCTTAGCAGCTACTTAAGTAGACTAACGACAAATGCAGATGTGCTTAATGTTTTTGAGATGCGGAACAATCCATTAGATCGCAAGCATTTTGTCCGGCTTACATACCAGTATGTTGGACAAGGCCGTTACGCAGCCGCTAGAATATATCGAGAGACTGACAATATGTCGGGTAGCGCCTAAAGCTTTTATTTCTAGACGGGATCCGAACAAGTCGCTATTGATTATTTATAACCCTAGTCGTTACACTCGACTATTATTACTAGCGGCTGCACCCCTATAGCATTAGATGTTTCGCTTGCAGTGGTATCCTGCCCAACTCCTGACAACTGACGGACTGATATCTCCACGATCCGAATCTAACCGTTTTGTACGGTATACGCTTGCTTGCTTGCTTGCTCCGTATGGGATTCGTCTAATCTCCCTTTTCCGTAAAGCCTCCTTTTGTTGACATTAGCTTTTCGGCGGCCAAAGCCTTCGTTCAGGATCTGGATTTAGTGTCGACAACCACGTAGATTACAATCTGACGTCGCTAACGATTCTATTGGTTGTAACGAAAGTAGCTTACCTTTGTCAGCGCGGTGGGCGCCACTGACCGGTCTTTGTAAGATGTTTGGCCGATGGCTTCTACATCCTCCTTCCTTCACACCGATGAGAGATCAAGCGGTCGGTTAGGCCTAGCAGTGCGTTTGGTTGCTTCTATAGGTTTTGTCGGGTATATGCTTAACTGCTACCAAATTATAAGACTGCCAATATATCAGCTGACGACAGCATTGGCGTTGAAATTTACAGATTGTGTTAATGCTATATATATATATATATATATATATATATATATAAGCTTGACAGTAATTGTTGTATTGCTTGCTGTCGTCTCCTAAAACCGTACCTTACGCGTTCCAATGCTTTATGTATAATTCAACGAGGTTTGTCCTTTGCGGTCATGTACTCGGGTCGGAACGAACGTTGTAGACATTTCGGCGAGTACCAGGTTTGTACGTACAGACAGCCAGCGTGGGGAATACTCAAAGGCTTTGATGGTTCTTGATATAATTTGAAACAGTGCTGTCTACGTTAACGCTTTAGTGTAAAATCGATTGTTACTTAGATATTTTACTAATACTTTCCCGTTGCTAAGTTTGATTCCGCTGAAAGCGTGCTACGGCCTATAGACAGTCACTATAGATTTGTATGTACATGCTTTATCTGCTCACTATTTGCCCTATCTACTATTTCTATTCTATTTATATTCTATATAGGTTGATAAAAACAATTTAATACGTTGAAAAGTGTGAGTAACTTTTAAATTTCGCACCGTAAACAATCAAAATCACCATGATATTGGCTATATATATATATATATATATATATATATATATAAGCTAATTAAGTGTCGTCGAAGAACAATAAATTTATAGGTAAAAATACCGTTTGAAAAAAAGAAAAATGACTGCAATTTTCTTATAATCAGAGTTCCTATAATCACGGGAGCTTCCGAATGACGAACCAAAGTCTGCACAATGCACTCCTTGTTGGCCAAATTCTCCGGATTTAATATACTCACACGCAGCGCTATATAATCTTACCTATTTAAAAACACCACATTTTACGTCATACTCGGAACCGGATCAAGGTGTAAAAACTTACATTTACAGAACGCCCTTTAAATTCAAAAGACAAGTGCTAAGTGTACACTTCTGTGGAGATTTCGATAACTCCAATTTAGTCACCGCTTCATTCATCCTAATATATATAAAATAGAGAAGACTTTATTTGTTGCTACATGTGATGACTTGAAGTACAGAAAGCTTGTTACGTTTGTGTAGTTTATATGTTGTAGTGCACAATTCTGAGAACGGTAGGAACTGTGTTTTTGACAATCAAACAGCTCCCAAAAGCCCCAGGTTCTCCCTTGTCCAACACAAGACAATAGTTATCAACTATTTTATTTAACGTCTTTAACTATTTCGGTCGTATAAACAAGTCCCCAAAATAACCTCTTATCTCCTTGGGTACAAATTTGCATGGCATCAGTAATTACATATACGCAATATTTCAAGTGGTAGGAAACATTCGATCACAATTTTTTTCGAAAATCGTCGCAAAAAGCTTGATGACCCATCGAGCTTTATCACTGGTGTCTAATCTTTATGGAGTAGGCTTCACCAAGAGTACGGTATTAGTCGTACTTAAGGTAGAGCTGCTATTAGGGACACACGAGTGCGGTTGAAGCCAGTGATATGTCTGTTTCTCTTTCACTTAGATAATGAAATTATAGATATTAGCATTTGTTTCCAGAATACGGAAATTATATAAATATAAGAATGTAAAAGCGAATTATATTTTACTGGACGACGCTCAGTAACCGATATGAATCATTGTAACGTTGGCTTGCCATCTGCTTGCCTTCAACCCCCAAAAAGCTTGAAGCTTATTTCTATATAGCCTACGCAGGCAAGCGAAATTTCCTAGACTGCACAAGTGACTCCTAGGCTGATTTAGATCCAAGGCATCATAGAATTCTCAATTTTTTTTAGATATAATGTAGCAAAGAACATCCTAGGAACAATATAATCATATTCAGGGGCTATTGACTGACCATTACAATAGGGCCCATGTAAAACCAAGCGTTATTGGACGACAAATTCTCTTCCCCCCCCCCCCCCGCCCCATTGTAAAACTGTCGAATACTGTAGTTCCCAAAGTAAACTAAGACCTGCAGCAAACTCCCAAGCGAGTCTGCCTCGGTCTTTGTCGCAAGAAGAAATCCGTGGCATCGAAAATGTAACAGTACTGGAAAACTTCATCTGTCATCTATTGTGGATGCCGACACCTGGAACGCCGATACCTCGAGCTGAGAGGTAGTATCATTACAGATTCGCACCATCATATTATTTTGGGTAATTAGTTCTAGTTTGAGAAGCCTGTGCTACAAGCACGCAAAATGTTCTACACTTGATTCGTTTTCTTGCCAGTATGCTAACTGGTGTGCTTAAGTAGACCAGCCAGCACGCTTAAAGTGAAAATTGAAAAATATATTGAAAGATATCGATCGAAAGAGACTGGCAATGTGCCAGAGATATTCATAAACATGAATACTACAGGCCACTCCAAGATCGACGAACTCCAAGATCAACGGATCCGGTAGTTACTCGCAAAAGGGGGCAAAGGATCAACATGTACATGTAACCTGCAATTAACCGAAATCTTTAGGTACTCAAATATCCAAAGCCATTGCTAACACCCATGTGAAAAACCAGACATCCAATTATATCAACCGGCTTTGTTGAGATTTTTACCTCAAAGTTACCTAATGAACCACACGGGTCGAATGAAGGCAATTCGTCTAAAAGGTTATCACCGAACTCGAAGGCCACAAATTTAGGCTTATTAGCCAGGTCGTCCTGTACGCGTCAGAGCGATAGCAAACATTTTTCAGCGTTTATGGTGCATGCCGGCCAAAATAAGCTGCGTCTAAAAAATGTATGACGGTGCGTTAACAGAAGCAAATCTGCAGGTAGCAGAGAGCTAAAACCGGCTCAGGATTTCACTGCAGGGGTTGCGTGTCAGCAGCACACGCTGATTTATACCTTGTTACCTACCTTTAGCGACGCCTACTATGGCTTGACAAGTAGATCGCGCAAGCCGATAGAGTACATACTTTATATTTTGACGACAGATAATCTAGAGTAAAGTTTCGTTCTTATAGTCCGGTGAGATGAGTTGTGTATATATAGGATGCCTTAAGAATACGTCCTACTCTTCCTAGTGCCAGGCTATTCATTAATAAAGCCACCAGGCTAACAGGATTAACTAACTGTCGTGTGCGCACAAAGATATCTTCCCTAGCTGTGATTTTCTATGCGGAACGAATAGCAGGAAATTAATTATCCTATGCACCCTAGAGATAATCGAGCCCACGACATTGTAAAGATATGTGCACGCCGCTTTTTGTCAGCTTTACGAGTAGAATGTATTTCTTTATACATCAGTGGTGCCACCAAGGCCCAGCCGTGATAGACAGGATCGTGCGATAGCTGCGTGTGCGGTTCAGGACTTAGGGCTCAAACTCCTAATTAGGAAAATAGGTAACATGTGCAAATTCAATAACAATCGCCCATATATAGGGCAAACGACTTCATGGCACGTTCTTGCTGCGGCTTTACTTCGTTGGCATTCAGCAAAGAACCCCTCTATGTTGAGAACTTTAAAGACGTGGTCACATCAAGGAGTCACCGAAATGAACGCGCATATCCTCTGTTTTGCTTTTTTGTGAGAGGCAAAAGACCAATAACTTTGACCTCATACGCCATTAGAAGATGAAATACTGTAGCTCTCCTCAAGTACGATAGAGTTTCTCGTTAAATACCGCGTTCGCATCATGGATCACGTAATATATTCCAATGTTACTTAACCGCCCCGGTTTGTCCGTTTCCGATTTTCGCAATAAAGATATGTCTTGTTGTTCAGTGAAAAGGCATTGTGTGTGTTCGTAACAGAAACATAGCAGTCAAAAGTCTACGACCGCATTATAAAGTCAATAACAGCAATAGTAAGATTAGAAGGAGAAGCCTGTTCGTATTTGCCTAAAAAAAATTTGCTTGTTAAAGCTCTTGGCTATTTATGTTGTCTACGGGATTAGTAACTAGCTAAATAGATCAATCCTTATAAACTTGGAAAGCAATCAATAGTTCAGCTCAATTTCGATTCAGAACCCCACGCATTTCCAAGCGTGGTTTCCTCTGTTCATCATAGATTGCCTAAGATAAATAGTACATCACAGTGCCGCGAAAATGGCTTCTGTATATAGTATAGCGTTTCTTCTTGTATTGTTTATTTTCTTATTTGGCCTTTTTTTGTTTTCGATTAGGCTCAGGCAAACAACCTACAAGAGGAAGAACAGGACGATGGAACGGGCATCATCAGTCAACTATTGGTTGGCGGAAAGCCCTTTAGTAGGATCCTGGCTGCCTTTCTGCGTTCGCCTCCTTCACGCTCACCACTAAGCACCCCCGCACACACGACTTCTTCAGTAGCATCAACTGTAGCGCTAACAGCAATAACGAATATCCCTCCTTCGACGGCAGCCGCGGCAGCATCGATCACCGCACGTCAGTTCCATCACCAGCTACAACAACGCCACGTATCAGCAGCCTCGCCTCTAGTGGAATCACTGCTTCACCAACAACAGCAACAATTACAGTATCATACAGCTCAGCACCAGGAGTTACTGCAGCAGTTAAACCCATTATACCTGTTAGATGATAGCAGTTTCCAACAACAAACCAGCTCAATATTTGTACAGCCTTTTTCGGCGGCAGGGGCCGCTGCGGCGGCACAAGCAGAATCGATCGCCTCTGTCGAACCATCTCCACTTCCACCAAGCAATTCAGCACGGCGCGTTGTAGAGTCCGCAGCAGATGTCGTTCAGAATACCGTGGATACAGTAACAACACAAATTGAGGGGCTACTACAGCCGACGGTGGTCACGGTGATAGGTAATAACAACACGAGCAACAATAGTCTCCACAGGGATCTCAGTTATGACGGCACTTCCGCTATTTTTTCAGCTACCAGCAGCACCGTCAGTAGCAGCAGTATCACTACGAGCAGTAGTTCCAGTTACTTTGCCCCGAGTCTTCACCGCGCAATTCTCAAGGTCGGCAGGACAGCTGCCGAAGCGGCGAGTGACGCAGCCGCCGATCACCATCAGCTCGCGTCGATATCGGGGGCCACAGTCCAAACAGGAGCCGCTCCCTTCTCTCTAAATAGCGCCTCCGCAACAGGTATGTATATATATAATAAGTATTATGGAATATGCATATGGAATTCTGTTCTATTTCGGTGTAATTGTGCCTGATATTAAATCATAAGTTGTCTTGTCTTTCTGCTCTAAATCGCAACGATACGAGCGCTTGACTTAGTTCAAAAGAGTACGTCTGTCGCGTGACAAAACCCAATGTACGCTTCGTTTTACAGTTTTAAACGCAATCCGATAGGGCTGAGATCGTACGTGTAGATTGGGAGCACTAAAATAGATGGGTGTTTTCGTCGAATTGCACTATATATTGATTACGGTTGGTTGAAATAGAACAAGAAGCAAACAACTAGCACGCGATGTAGATCTTCATTCTTTTATGCTCCCATTTTCTACGTAGCGACCACAAAGCCGGCTAGAGCGTACATCCTGACGGGGCTCTCCCTTTCTGGCCCTCCAACAGCAGGACGGATATTTCTCTAATATATGATAGACGCATAAACAAACGTGCCGAAATATTCATAGACAAAGATAAGCGTACGCTGGGGCATAGATGATTTAAAGTAGTCATAGGGTCAGAAAAGCGGCTTGCTTTCTCATTGCCTCTTATTCAGTTAGGATTCGAGTAACTAATCTGCTGTGATAGAAAGCCTAATCAGCTACAGAAACTGAGGTGTACACCAGGTCCACTGTGTGTGTATCGAATATCGAGGGTAGGACACACTTCTTTCTCTCGCAGTCGTTTCCGTAGCGGGCCTTTGTTTTGCTGTAGGTACTAGCGGCACCCATTAAATCAGTCGGTCGCTGGTAGAAAAGGAGCTAGGGCAAAACCGCCTGAGGGAACGGCACACAAAAGCAGATACACCCGGTTTCTCTAGTCTTGACATAACAGTGACTATTACTGTTTGTATAGTGGTGCCTGGCTACTCGCTGTGTCCCTATACTTTGTGACGTATGATGCTATCAAAAAGCAGAAAATGTTCCCGAGCCGTGGAAAACGTCGACAGACATAGACTGCCTTGCCACCGCCCCCGCAGCAGAGGCATTTCTGTTCGTCAGTTGGAAGAAAGATGCAAACGCGTATCGTCTACCGTTCCAGTTCTCAAGGGAGTTCCAGTGTCTTATTCAGCCCCAGTTCGTCTGCTTGGCCCACCTTAAAGTTATAGCCAAAGGCTAATCAGCACGATGGGCGACTTCAGAGCTAATTTTATAACAGCCTTTACTATAGTACTGCTTCGTTATTTTCGCTCTGCCCTGCTCCTAGAAGCCCCTTTACTGTAGTATTTTTGTCCAAAAACCAGGATCCTTGTACAACAGAGCCTCGACGTTAGCCGCTCGAGATGCAAAACTAATGAGAAGAAAGAAGGACGTCCGACGCAGGAAACGAGGATGTACGTACATATGGAGGAAATATGTGCTTCTCTGGGCCACTACGAAAAAGTGATGGGGATAGTGGCCTTGGGAGGGCCGAATTGGATGCTATAGAACCGAAGAATTCCTCCATTCTCCTCCAGTAATTCTGATGCCCCTACCCTTTAGCGGGACGTAGTGTAACCGAGTGAGAGATAATGTAATTTGTGATTTGCAGGAACTACGCCGGTCGGACCGTTATCCCCGCTCAACGCGACTCTTACCCACGACTACGTTGGAGGCCTGCTCGACGGCGGCAAGGGATCCGACTTGCTTAACGCGACGTTTTCAGCGCGCCCTACAGCTCACGTCGCCTACAACGACAACGCCAATAGCTGGTGGAGAAATTTTATTCCAAGGTAAGCAGCGACGCAGGTTGAAGCGACAACTCAACATATTGAGAATCCTGTCGATCTGCTTAATCGATGAATGAATGACTAGCTGCGTGACTGGGTTAGACTGAAAATTCGTGCTTAATGGTGTGAGTGATTCAGGCTACAGTTTTTCACACTGTCTTTGTTGCATCGCTATTGCTGACATCTTCGACACTCTTCAGCGATCGTCCAGGAACAGAAACTCATACCTGAGCACGTGACACACATCAACAAAGTGTTTTGTAGTTACTGTTTGGGAATATCATTTTAGTGTTTGAACAAATAAATGTATTTTCTCTTTTACTGGGATTTTCGGGCAGAATTGCATATATATATATATATATATATATATATATATATATATGCTATTTATATATCATGCCAATCACGCTGTGCTTAATACGGTACAGTAGCTTCTACGTAGAACGTGGACTTAAATTATTTTGATGTATGTTTTCAAATTTCCAAGCTAACGAACTTCGATGGCTAGTTTGAATAGTGGGTGTCAGATGCACATTGTACGCGATGTTTAAAATTATGTAGCTGAAAAAACTTTGCAGCTTTTCTATAGATATATAGTAGAATTCACTCTGTATAGCAGCAATTCAGTAAAGGCGTATTTCTCGGTAGAATACCACATCACTTACAAGTTCGTTGTTGTATTTCATTACATAATTTTAATAATTTTTGACGTTATTACATTATTTCAGTATGTTCATAGCAAGGGTTTGCTCCTTTTGTCCTTCAGCAGAAGGTTGAGTGACGAGGAAATTCGAAAAATGCTGATTTTATGATTGGAAGCTATGCAGATGCCTGTGTATGCTGTTTGTCAGCTGTCCTGAGCCCCCATGAGCAGACGTGAGTGCTAAAGAGGCACACGTCCAATACATTCCATGTTAATTTTGTGCCTTTTTTTACCAAGGTTAAATGCCTGCTAAAGGTGAGACGCAAAGGGTTGTTTAGCTGATAGCAGGCAAGCGTACGGGAAGTGCACAAGACATTATATATTATATATATATATATATATACAGAATCATCTCAACGCTGAAAGCATAAGCTTGTCCCTCACTACTCGTGCAAAGTCCTGCCATCATTAGTGCAATGTTAAGCAGAAGCACGAACAAACGCTTTCCAGTGCACTTTCCAGTACTGATGCCTGCGTCATTACGAAGAAGATCTAGGCTTATTCTTTCCCACAACATCGGATATTTTTTGTCTTTTTCTTTCTGTGAATCGTTGATAGGCCAAGCATGTCGCCTGAAGAGGTCCGTGCTCAGTACTACGCCACGTACGACCCTATGACGGGCGTCCGCATAGCAGCCACACTAGGAGCCATTATGAGCCTCTTCGCACTCTTCCTTATCTTCAAGGCTAGATGTAAGTCCATCCGATCCAGACTCAACCTTTAGCAGGGTCAAACGGCAAGCAGCAGTTCCGCCTAATCACTAATTCAGCTAGAAGACATCCACTGAATCTAAACCGAGACGCACCAAGACACGAGAAGCAAGTCAAAACGATATTCACCAAAATGGCCAACTAAATTCTACAGTCGTAAAACACAAAGAAATACGAAAAAATAATACCGAACATAATAATATTGACGATAAGAATCGCAGTGATGATGATGACGAGAAAGAACTATAAGCTAAAGCACAATGTTTTGTTTGTGATTTGTCTGATGTGCTGGTGTGAATGTGTACGGTACTTGAAATGTCTATATTAACACTTTATAGTGTGACATTGCTAGTTAATGAGTGGCTTAGCGAGCTAGAGAGATCTAAGGAAAATCGTGGCGAAAGCGATCGGTCGAACGTGGTAAACGAACCAGCAGAAGGAGAAAGGCAGTGCAGGACTTCCCTTATTCTCTGTGCATCTATACCACTGCAGGCCACATCGACCCTGGACTTGTGGTCTTGGTAACCGGCAAATTGCCTAAGGTTGCAGTAGTCGGAAAACATTGTCACTTGGTCCGACTATTATCACGTATATACCCATATAGTTCGTGTAGCTTTCAATCAGACAACAACAACATTGTGACAATGATGATGATGGCGACGCTGAAGACTCGCACTCTAGGACGACTGTACCGTACACTTGCTGACACCCTGGACATCGGCAGCAAATTGTTTTTTGCTGTCCCTCATCGGTGTTTGGCCGCGTCGTCGGCTAAAATTACGCACCGGCCTCCATCTTGACAGCACGCCCGCTACAGTATCAGAAACGCTGCCCGGAAGAGCGCACTCTTTCATATTACATAATACATGAGCAAAGGACAATGAAGGAGATGCATGCGCTAATACTTATTTCCATGGAGGTATTCATTAACAAAGCTTAGCGTGCTTGTTTGTCTTGGCGAAACATACACCAAGCGCGCATACATAATATCCCTGTTAGCTAATGAACAGGTGCGCTACCCTGAAAACATCAGATTAGGCACACGCGTACACGGTGAGGATAGTGATTTACAATCACAACTTTGTATATACATACAGGCATATTGGATATGGTACATACGTATGCATATTTCTATTCGATATACTCAGACAAGCGAAACTTTAGAGCCTCTAGAGGGGCATCGACTCTTATGATTTACTATTAAGCGATTCACCTCATCTATAACGAACTAACGCACTTAACGGGATGCCGTTGCCATATCAACGTTGCAGATGAGCATTGTTGTTGTCGAGAAACGACAAGAACATGCAGAATAAAATAACTACAAAAAAAAAGCCGCAGTATTTTTGTTGATAGTAGTAGATAGCAACGACAATATTTTACCAAGAAAAACAACAAGCATCAGGCGAAAAGTTTGGTAAGCGAATGCGGAAAGGAGAGCCAATCACTGAATTGGTCCATGCTGCAAAATAGAAGGTATTATCGTACCTATCGCTACTAACTGAACCACGCACTTCGACGTAATGGAATAACTATGAATATGAGTGCATAATTGATTATATTAATTAATACATTAATTGATATAAATAGTGGTGATGCCAGATTCCAAAGGAGTGCCACTTTTTCCTCTCAGTTTTCGTCCACTAAAGACCTTGATCACCTCAGGGATTCGTACAATACCGATGTGCTGTGAGCCGGTGATGCCTTGGTTTCGATTGGGGAGCTTGCACACCCAGATTAGGTGCTGAGATGTCCTGAAATCAAAAGCTTATCAGTAGCTTTGTCGCTTTACAACCTCGTGTTATTTTTTCAGCCTGCGTTTACACCGATCTCGTTTGTATATGCATCAGACGTAAGTATTTCGAATTTTACGTTCTACGGCACCGTTATTAGGCGTTCTGTCAGATGACTGGCTCCCAGCACGAAATGAACCATGTGTCTATGCCCAGAAATAAACCTAGACCATTTAAATTAGCTATCACGGGGATTAGCCTCTTATCTACCTGTTCTCTCTTGATCGATGGTCAGAGTCGTGTTTGGACGTGCGGTATATCTCGTAGCTTGATGCATGTCGCATACATAGCCCGCTCCAAAGTTCGCCCAAACGAAGGTGAAGCTAATTTTGCAGCAGCCTTTAGGCCTGAATACTGATGCCCTGGTAGTGGCGTTGGGAAAAAAAGGAGAGCAAAAACTGTTTTAATGCAACCCACGTGGTAATGAGTAAAGTATCAGTCGAGCAAAGTGCTGTATTTCGGCTTACATATTCACAGAAGCTCAAATCGGCGAAGCCCCACCATATCCAAGCTAAATCCAAAATTAAAAGTTCTAATAGCCTCGATGGGCACTTCGAATGGTGGCCTGGGAAACCTATTAGGACGATCCGTCAGGAGAATCGGCGACTCAATTTGTATAGGCAATAGACCTTCATTTTTGCTGCTTCTTACTGACTGAATAACTGATTTCAACATGCCAAATAAACATTCAGAACTATTTTTACCCAACGCTGACAACGGCAAGATATCTTTGCATTTGGCTAATTTTTCAAATTAGGGGAGTTGAAGTACGTGTCTAACTTGATCGATGGCACCACAACAGAGGTCCAAAGTGATATGGGGTAAATATAAACAATCCAACCAACAATCCACGACGAAAATGGCTCTAGATATAAGGAGAGGTCCTACTTAAAGTGGGTGACCACTCGCGATGTCGCATTGCCTCAGCCAAACCACCCTCACGCGGAATGGCCGCACTAAGCTACCACAAGATCCTATAACGACCAATCATTATTTCGTCATGCACAGATCACCAGGTAGAATCGATAACGAAAACTAGAAGCGAACGCAACTGGCACAAAAGGCTCATTCATTACAAATTCCACATATACGCGCATTATAGTAGCAACCAATAGTAGGTACTTTTACTACCAGGCAAACCACATTGGACAAAACGAGATTTTGGTGCGTAAGGTTTCAGGTCTTTAATTCTCAGAGGTTTCATTCGAGTGGCAAATGATTGTGGACTCTAGGTGGTAACGAATTTTCGAGAACTAATGGACGGGGTAGTGAATTCAAAAAGGCTAAAGGTAGTAGTGATATTCGTATTTAAACAGTTTTACTAATATAGCCTTAATATCTAGGAAACACGTGTGACTTTAACGTTCAGCCTAATCAACCAACATGGCATTGCCAAAATCGGATGTTAAACCTAATTGGCAGTATTTTCTAGATTCGAGAGTTTTATTTCAGTGCTTTCTTCTGGAAAAATTATCGGTCAGCTAAAGGGATAACTCGGTAAAGAGGTCTTAGTTTTATTGTATCAGTGAAATGACTGGGTGCTGTTTACATAGTGTGTATTTGTTTACGACGTGTGGTGTTTAGTTAACGTAAACCGCCGGCAAGATCGTAAAACTTCTACATGCTCAACTATACACAATAACCCCAACCCCTAGATGAGTGAACTCAAACAAATAGATAGTATTGGGGATTCCTAATTACCTCAAAACCTATCAACCGAAACAGAATATCAGGCTGGCTGTAAGGCTTGTTGTCCTAAGGGGGAAAATGCTCGCCAAGATAGCTAGAAACACGCAGAAATGCTGCCTATTTTTGTTGAAACAGTAAAACTTTAATGAATGCTTCTGTTACAGCGAAACACCATTTAAAAATTTTTGTTTGCGTTATAATCGGTACTAGCGTGACACGATACTGTGCGACGATCCTATGCTTAAGGCAGAACAAGGCCCTGCCTTTCCTATATTTCAAAAGCCAAACTGACCTTTTTTTGTATTTGTGCCGCCCTGAGGTCAATTACAGCAGCAGTCACACAGGCGCAAAATGCCCTTTCCCGCCATTACCGTTGTATATTAGAAAAGCTTTGCAATCTTCGAGGTTGCCTCGCTGATGAATACACACAACGCAACGTAAGTTTGCACACAGAAAAAGCATGAGGCAAATTTGACCACAGCTTTGAGAAACCAAAACTTAGCAAGTATATGGTGAGCCTACGAAGCAACTTTATGTACCCCATTATTGATATCCTTTTATTGGTAATAATAATCCTCATCCCAGAAGGTCAATGAGAAAAAATCCACAGGATTCTATGACAACATACAGCCATAGAAGGTAGATCATTTGGATCGTGAATGGCAAATTACAATAGCAAACGTACCACTGAAATCAATGATTGGAGAATATAGCTAGCTACGATCTACCGTTGGCAATTGGATAGTATTGCATTTACGATACACAAATACAATTTGGCTTATTATTGGTATCGGGATTTACTCGTTCGTAGCAGTTCCACGAGGAACCGCTAATTATGATGGTACGAGTAAGTATGGCACAAAACGATATGAACAGCGTAATAATGATAATTGGTATTTGCCGAGCTAGTTATATAGTTTCTCTGTTGTTTGTACCACATGCTGTTTGCAAACCAGATGACACTGATTGGCGTAAGAAAAACAATTGATGGAAACACGTTTTACACCGATGAGAGGTAATCGAAAATGCCAAAAACTGGCAAATAACAAAGGTAGATAGCATGAAAATTCAAAAGAATGAGAGAGAAAAATACGTAACAGCACGCTGTCAGTGTATCAGTAATAGTACCGATAATTATAAATAAAGGTGAAGATACACCTCCAGGAGTAAACGTCATGTCAATTGTGATTTCTCTAATATTGATCTAATTATGATTCTTGATGGTTATCGATATTTCCATCGGTCTTGAAATACCCCTGATAACTAGGAATAAACGTATCCAACCATGTTTTATTGTAGCTAATTATATTAAATAGAGATATGTATAGCGATCAATAAGAGTTCCTCCAGATTGAGCTGACTGTTCCGGCCTGTTCAAGTGAGGTCCGACAGATTTAAGCAATTATCTACTCAGTAAGGTTATGTTGCGTCACTGTACATTGTTGACGGTATTTTCATCATAATCATCGGGAAGACTCGGCTTGACAAGACATAAAACAAAAAGTAATTTTTTTAATACAACCAAATTTCTTTGGCCTATGGTGAACCTGATAAAAAATCTCTCCTCTTCATCGTTGTTCATCGAGTCATTTTATGTGAAATCGGGGATCTTTACTTTTTTTGGGAGTACTTGACGTCAACCTGACGTGAACTAGCAACCACCGGATAACTTTGAAAGGTAAGGCGTGTCGATATGTAGATTGTTTAATTGTAAACTAAGCTTTACCAGACTACAATAGTAACAGCAGAGAACGTATAGATTATGCAATATATAGAAAAGGAGTGAAATTGCATTAGAATACCTATGTGAATATGTATTCTCATCGAAAGTTCGTGTTCTTCTGAAGTGCAGCTGTATGCAGTGAGCCCATTACGACAAACGGCCCCAAAGAAAGCCAGAGGCATGCAGTACGGACAAGCTGGCCTGCTAGCTGGTTTATGTAGCCTTCAGACATGATAGCAGTTCAGAGGGTAATGTAAATAAAACAGCATCCTCTCTTTCTCTCCGGACGTTTGGATAAGATGGGAAACGGTGCAGGAAATTTTTTCTCCCCTGGGAAATGAACGTAGTGGCCAAACCGCCTACGCTATTCGTAGCAAGGTGCCTCGCAGTAGTGGTAGTAGCAGCAGACGAACGGAAGTTGAACGAAATAGAAGACGAAGCAAGGACAACGTAACAAAGGTTTATGATATATAAGACCCTGGAACGAGCCGCTTTGGTAGAAGCCTGATAAAGACGGTGATTAACAATTTTGAAACCATTCCGTAGATGACTGCCCATTGTTTTTGTGTTGAAGTAATGCAATGACCGACTCACTGACCAGAATAGACAGAAAACTTTCCTCTACGCTCTTCTAATCCTCTTGCTAAAATAAAACCACATGTAACTGCTTTCACTAGGCACCGCTTTATAGGGTAGTGTACATTTGATTTATATAACTATTGCCTCAAACCTTCAATAGGAAAGTAGCGATTAGAGTCCAGAGCCTCCCAAAAAGCTTGCCTTGACGAGCCAAGCTTGCCTCTACATCGATAAAGCTTGTCATGCTCAACGACATGCAAGAAGGACGCGGACGAAAACATCATTATATTGATCTTCGGGTTATTATAAAGTATGGGAAAGCAGTATGTTGGACACCTGTGCTAATGATTGCTTAAATTAGTTGCTTTGAATTTACCTTATTTGTTACGAACTCTCAGAAGTAGCTTCATTAAGTGGCCCAGCAGTGTAGCTTGGATTCTTGCGTATACTATGTCTACGAGTGTCTTTTAGTTGCTCACCAGACGAGTTATCGATTTGTTATGCACAAGCTAATTGTGTAAATTTATTTCCTATCGAGCCAGAAGTCCTACCGAGGTTGTTGGACTATCTTCTTAACGCGCACTGATCGATTTGAATGAATAGGCCGAAGGCCAGGCATATTCAGGTGGAACACTATAAAAGAGCAGGATTTAAAGAATAATCTGTTCTCTACGATAAACGATACGAAACTGGATTTTCCGTCTCTTATTTGTCTTGAGATCCTTTCTCGCGATAAAAGTTTTAAGCGATTTATTTTTCACGGTCAATAGAAACTGTGTGTTCCGGCAGGCGATATGTACTTTCGAGTGTCACCCTCGTTTCTTCTTCACAATCAAACTGGGACTACGCTCAATGCTAAGGCCGCGATCGTATCTGAAACCACGCAGGAAATTCTTACGAGTTGGTACGTATATAGATCGCTAACGGACAAAGAAAACTGCAACGCTATGAAATCGATATATTTAAAGAATCGAAGTAGGCGTAACCGTAGCTAAGGAATATGAAAAACCGATCGGTAGCATCAAGTGATGGATTATGTTAAACTATAACAATGGAGACAGTATAAATTTTCCTCGGGTAACGTAACCAATTACTCCAGTGTCTAATTACTCGTAGCCATTTCTATGGCATACAGGAGAAAAGCATATTGTGCGACAATCAACCATTAGGTTGAGATACAATCAAGAAGCAATACATTTAAATACATGATTTATCCATCGAGTGAAGACAATGACGACGGCAAGTCAACTCTCGCTCTGGACACCTACAAATTGAAGATCGACATAGACGTAATGTGGTGTGATACAAACTTTCTCAAAACAAATGAGTGAGTATCTGCCCATTGGCACTCTCAGCTAGCAGTGACCGTCAGGGAGGATCTAACGAGCACTCGGCAAACACATGCACACACAGATTTCTAAGTTGAATAGAATGACTACGGTGATCTTCACGGTTAAATCAGCACCGAAATTAGACAAGCGTACCCTCTTGATGATTACACTGGTTTGATACAATTACGGCTATTGCAGTAATAGAAAATACTATCATATAATGGTTGAAGGTCTCTTTTTACAAGAATCGTTATGTAAAGCGGTCAATACCACTGCATACGCTACGGAAAATGGCCTACCATGTGATTCTATTGTTTCTAATAAAACGTTTGAATAGCTTTTTGCCTGACTAGCCAGAATTCAACTCGCCAGTCTCACACATCTTCACACGTGTAAAGCATGAACGATTGGATCCTGAACGCTCATGGAGGAGCAAGAATCAACAATCTAATTCTTGGGCCACTGTTCAGTTGTGTGATTAATTCTTCAAATGTCTATACGGATTGAGACCAGTATTTATAACGTTGAAGAAGCTTTGCAAAGTAATCAGTGCGAGTAAATGCGATGATATGATTGATGCTTTTCTGTCAATACAGATGTCGTTCGCTCAAAACGGTACTCATTGACAAGAGGGCACAGCCTCTAGAACCCTGCCTATCTAAGTTGTTTTCAGTCGCTTCACAGACGCTCTGCAAAATCGAAAGAATCACCTAATCCAACGTGATGTGAAGAACAAAATCGTCCACGAAGATGATAACGACGGAGAGTGTCAGCTTATGGGCTACCGAACATCACCTATTAATCGCAAAGATGACAACAAGTATAATTAAATTCTTACACACCTACTTACACCTAAATATACATATACCACGGCTACATAAATATGTACACGTCTATAACTATTATATATTACGGCACATGAGAAGAAGCCATGCACGGGACAGGCTGCAGTCATTTGTTCTAGTATTAGTAGTCGATTTTGAAAACTAGCATTTTGTAGAGTACCATTGCCGTTTCAGCGTAAACACAAAAAATACGCCAGAGACGCGTTTACATTCACCTATAGATTACCTCTGTGATATTTGTAAAAGCTAATAAGTCTCTGGTAACACAGCACTAATATTAGGGTCTGCGCTGCGCAGCCCACACCCGCAACAGTCAAAAACAAACGTTTTTTGCTTGCTTGCTTCACCGCCGCGATCTTTGTCGTCGCTCGTTTCCTCCTAAAAACTCAATTTTTTGAAGTAACTCTAGCTAGTCCTTCAACTGATATAATTTTACATGATACCTATTATGTAGTTGCACATTTTCATTAGACTTCAAAAATATAAGCTGGATTTTTTCGCTGGTAGTGTTGATTGATCTCCATTGCTTTTTTGATTGAGTTTTAATATAAAATTTTGAAAATAGATGACTTCTATCAATAAAATTCTTCTTTTGTTGACACGTGTGAGCGGAATGAACTTAAGAGAGCGAGTGAACGGAAAAGGGTCACGGCGAGATGGCGGGCAGCGATAACAACGACGGACAGAACCGCAACGAAAAGAGAAAACGCAGTAGAGACTATTTACAAAAATAGTATGGCTGCAAACGCTGTTACGCATTCTACTGCGCATTTCAATCATAGAACAAGATGAACTACTTGAGCAGGCAGTAGGAGTATAATTCCTTAAATTATGGAACATAGAATAATTGAAAGGTGCGTCATTGATGAGAGGCAGGGCTGGTAGCTCATAATGTTTTCAAGTGGTCTCTTTTTCCCTTGCATTTGGTTTAGGGAAGTTTTTTACTTTCAAGAATAGGCGAAAATTTAGTTTTTTTGCACTGTTCAGCTTGCTATTAAATACTGTTGAGGATTCACTGTCATTTTGTCCCACTCAAGAATCCTTCTAACATCGATGTTTGAAGCCTGTATTAACAACATTCACGTATGTTGAAAACAGATCCTCAAAAAATTCATACTAAAAGTAGATCCTGAGCAGGATAACCTGAGTTGATTGGTGTGATCCACAGTCGCATACTGCTCCAAAAAATTCGTCTTGTTATGACGGTGTTTTGAAAAATACGATGTACTCCCTGCCGAGATTGCGATAGAACGGGGAAATACAAAGGAGCAAGGGTTTGAGCAAAACAGTATCTACTTACTTTCTTGTAGCAAGAATAACGCGCAGTGAAAACTATTGGAAACGCCAAACGCCGAGGCCTAAAAGACTCTGGTGTAGAGCAACTCAATGCGTCCATGCTAAGCATGCCAGGTAAAAGCTAAACGGGTAGCCTACGCAGCCCATGGTTTAAATTCGGCTGGATAAAACGGCACTATTTCCACGCAAAATTTCTCAATATGTTATTTCAATAACTCTGCAGAGACAGTTAGCACAGGTAAATACCTATTTTTTTTTCACAGGCGTGCAGTCAAACGTGTGCAAACGGACACGTGCACGACCAACTAGTACATCTTTGCTTCACTACCTTAAAAAAAAGCAGTCTACCGAGGAGATTTGAAGCAATTCGG